GTAAAGGTGTAATTGACATAAATGTGCCACTTCTGAAACGGTACGACTGATTCACGAGGATTAAGGGCATATTGTTTTATTTATGGAAGTTGCAGAAATATATTGTATAACTTAAGTAGTTAAAACTGTATATCCATATTCCTTATAAACCATTTATGAATAGTTATAACTTACACGGAGACGTACATATGTGCACCAGTAACTGATATGCGTTTTATAGTTACGCAAATATAGCATACGCTAAGCTGACATATAAAGGCATTATCCTATAAAGCTTACAAATTGTTCATGCATAGAGTCCGTCGAAGTTATAACTTACTCAAAAAGAAATGTATATTATGTATATTTTGAAATTATTCTCGTTTGTGCGGGCTGCACCTTGCACTGATTGTTTGTTAGCTGGCTGCCATATGGGTCAAGGTGGTGAACTGTGGTCACAGAGCACACGTGTCAGGGAACCTGGCCAAACGTCTCGTACACTGGTACAACATGCTGTCCGTTTTTCCGCTCATTGTACTGAAGGACTATGGGGTGAATTCTCTACATTCAACGAAATTGCGAGCTGAAATATGAAAATTTTCTGCGTCCATCGATGTACACCCCCCACACCTAACGTTCATCATAATGATGCCACTTTCACCCCCTATTTATATCTGAGTTATGGAACTTGTTGCTATGCTTAACCACAACCAACTGACGAAGAAATAGTGGGTATGCAGAATATAGACAGTTGTAACGTGTCTTAGCTACTTACATGGTTGGCACTATTTCTGATGATTTTATTTCTGCTGTATTGTGTATCGTATTATGTCAGATAGCGAATTGCTCCTCTAAAACCAGATTTTTCGCCGTATTGCACTATCCCCTTGCTACTAGATGTCCAGGAAGGAAGCATATCAGCAAGTGACTGGTGCATATGGTATTTGAACACTTGCACTGCCAGATTCATCTTGCATTATTTTGTCCCTTAGAGCTACCTCCCGCTCACCACGAATGCAGTTTCATGACCTGGCCCTCACTCTTGTATGCTACCCTATTAACCTCATAAGATTTTCGTACTCCTGAGTACGTCAAACACCGAACGATATTTCCGTCATCATATTTTCTGGAGTATTGCACCGCTCAGTTACATAAGCGTGATCATCGTTCTGATGAGTGCTGGTCATTGGTCTCTTTCTTTAACGCCATGTCCAGCCAGCCATGTCGTTGTATTTGAAATTTGCCTGGTGAAAGAACACTGTGTATGTACGCTGCAGTTGCGTATGCAAATGTTTGAAACATGCAACTACAGTATGGTAGGCATACATCGTATACTTGTATTATATATATTCTATACTATAGTTGTACAAACGTTACATTTTAGTTATATATGTGTTATGCGTATTTATTGCTATAGTGTAGTATATACACAACTACAGTGTACATACGGCGATTGCATTGTAATTGTGCATATATTGTATGCAGATGCAGAACTTAGCAAGTGCATAAATTATTACAATATAGTATGTGTACGTTTATGAAACAGTATGTATGTATTCGATTGCATTAGTGTATTCTGTGTTATTGCTATGCACAGATTACATTGTAGCTGTATACATTTTGTGTGCGATATGACGATAGTGTAGTATATGTGCAAGTACAGTGTCATTGTTGTATATCTGTAGTATGGCGTACACAGAAGGTCAGAATAGTATATACGTATGCTGTGCTATGGCGTATGCACATCGCTTTGCAGTTATTTGCATATTAGTAGCAAATCTATTGCTCAAATATTTTAGAGGCACAACTACAATGCAGTCTGTGCATAGCTATAGTATGGCATACGTTCTAATACAATAGACTACATATACGTACTATTCTCTAACCTACACAGATTGCATTATAGCTGTCTATATGGTACATGCGCATGCGTAACTTTAGGGTAGTATATATACATGCGGTGCTACTGCATGTATGTTATACTGTAGTTGTATGTATACTTTGAGGTTCTAAGCAGTTGATACAACAATAGTTACGAAAATGCCTGGGGTATAGAGTGTATGTCACGTATAGTGGGAAAGATCGTAGTCGAACTTTGGTTGGTACTGCATGTGACCACTTTTCACCTTTCCGAGATGTATCAACTAGGAAGTATACGTAAAAAAATTCTAGGAGTCCACGCGCTATAGGAAAACCTGGTTTTGAAGTTTCCTCAAAAAATGAGGCATTACTGATGGTCGAATTTGAAGGAGTCATTGTAGCTTGTGATAAAGTCCGTAACTCATGAAGGGTCTCACAATTGTCGTCTGTTATGAAAGCGTAAGGAAGACCAGAAAACTGACTAGTCACCGGTTAGAAGTTGACCTTTTCTTTTCTTCAGAAGTAAAGCCTCCTCGAACTTTTCGTTAAACCTGATGACAGCTTTGTCACAGACGTATATAAATGAGGTATCAACGTCTGACTGTCACTTTGTCGTTGTTCGTTGAAGCTTCAGCTAAAACAGTAGTGATTACGACGAAGCGACACATGCTTCTGGGTGGCATTTCGCTCTTGCCTCAGTGTGTCATGTCGTCGCACCTCCGAAAGCTAATTAATTGGAAGAATTTGAGCGCACAGCTATTTGTTTTCGTATTCAAAGTATAGCCAATGCGTTTCGTTCATTTCTCTCGCTGTCGTCAGACTCGTCGCGCCAAGTTTGTGTTCGACAACATCTCTGATGTTCAAGGCCATTGGTCGGGCCGTTTCGTTTATTCGACGACATCGTGCCGATTGCTATCTCCTTCAAGCCAATGATCCGGTTTATACTCCCTACTGTTGATCAGCGCTGTCGTCGTGCCCGTTTCAGAATCCTCACTGTTAATCTGTTTACCGTAGGATCTTTTCTCTATCGGAAATTACTTGCTCCATTTAGTTTCGATATATAAATTGACATAATTATATTTCCCTCGTTATTTTCATGTTTATGATAAATATGGTTATGATCTTATTTAAAGGCTGTCATGATGAATAACAATGCACCCCTATGGAGGTAATTTAATTCATGTTTTTAAAACTGTATGATCTTATGTTCTAATTCGATTATCCTTTCCCAGTATCTGGTGTCTGGAAACTCCATTTACATATTGTGCTGTGTGTTTCAGTTTGACACTAGAACTGAAAGGCATGTTATTCGTATTTACTTTGGAACAATATCTGTCGAATGTCCGCCACTCTGTGCAGAGGTTGACCTATTATCAGATTTGATTAATTATATAGTTGTAGTGTAGTAGACAAGAAGTATTCACTTTTCAGCGGTTCCAGCACTTGACCGTGATATAGATATAAACATCGAGCCAAATAAAACAAAAAGCGTTGCAAATTTTTAAGTAATTTGTCATTAAATTCTTGAGGATCCTTCAAAATCCGGATCAGGTGATGCAGTACTGCGTTTTTGTACTCAGTACTCAGTAAGAGCGTACGTCGATTCAGATCTGTACATTTGGCCCTGACCTTCGATTTGCAACTGACCAGCATATCGTGCAGTTGGTGAGACGGATCGACTAGGATGTTGATCACGAATGTATAAGTAACATTGTAAACGTCGTAGGCCAGCTGCTTGGGAAGACAGCCTCAAGGTACGCCGTAAGCCGTAAAAGCATCAGCCGACATGGTCCAAAAAAGACGAGAGCGTCGTTCGTTACTAGATTTGCAATGCATGTCTGCCAAAGCTGCCAACGAAGCCACCTTGATGTTTCAAGCTGTCGCAGTCTACGAACGTAATATTCTTATGACATTCTGTTGCAACGGTATATAGAGAATATAAGCATAACAAAAGCCGCTTCGGCTGATACAGTATTATCTATTGAAGAGATTGTCGATACGTGATTAGTGCACGATGCCTTATCAAGAAAATGTTCTACTGAGCCACTAATCGAAAAGTATTTAACATATATAGTATCTTATGTATGTTATCTTAACCGTGCATACCGCCAGGTCATAAAGTCGGTAAGAAAGCTGGCTGCCTCACCAATTTTTCTTTTCACAATAAGTCAAGATCATGAGATACAACAAACGTATAAGCAATACCAACGTTCAGAACAAACTTCTCATGACCAGTTTTGTAAACGAAGCAAGTGACAGTCACTTGACATGCCCACAACATTTAAACTAGATATCGATCAGTTGTTTATGAATATGAGTGACTACTCGCTCTGTTTAGTAACTCATGGTCGATAAACTTATATGTTATTTTATATATGTATACTGAAATTGTTACAGGTATGTGCTCTAGAACCTTTTTGATCATACGGATTCGTCTTCACTTAAAGGCGCAATGTATAAAGGAAAAAGGATTGATCTGATAAATATGTACTTCTAATGCCATATTACTGCTTTAATTGTATCTTTCGGTATTTATGTTAACCAGCGACATAGAACATCGAGCAGTAAATACAAGATTTGCGGCATATCACATAACAGTTATCACTTTATCAATTGAACACTTTCTTGATGCCTGATTTCTTACAGTAAAGCTAACAACTAAAATATATTTTCAAAGTTAAGCGAGTTTCTTCACCGTAAATTTCATCAGAACCAATTGAAACGAAGCACAATATCTGATCCAAAACGTAAAAAAATTTTTACTTGCATGCAGCGGGGTCAGAGTGATAATTATTAATGGCAGATCTGCGGTAAGATAACAAGGTAAGCGTTGTTCATATGATCAAATGAGTTGTTCTTATGCTCAGGTATGTCAAATACCGAAAGAAATTCATTGATTGGAAACCTGTCAGCGGAAAAGTGTTAATCTTCTGACTGAATCTACAACAGGATAAAGCGTTGACCTCATTACATGTTTATGCGCCTAATTTAGATGGACAGTATGATTCCTTCCTTGAGGAAGTGCAATTTGCTCTGTACGAAGTGCCGATGCGGAGTTACTCATACTCATGGGCGATTTTAATGCGCGTGTCGGAGTAGACGCTGAGAAGTAGAACGGCGTGATTGGAAAAAACGGCCCTAGCGACCGCAACGGTAACGGCATGAGGTTGTTGCGGTTTTTTGCAAGCAACGGATTGTCCATTATGAACAGCTTCATAGAGCATCCAAAAGTGCATCAGTACACCTGGCACCGGGAAGCTTGTGCACAGAAGCTGACGATCGAATTGGATAGTCGTATCGTCTGACCTAAGATGCTCAGTAATGGATGTTCGTGTTAAAAGAGGCGCAGAGCTATCAACCGATCACCACCTTATTATCGGCACGCTGCGCTGTAAGAAATGGAGTACCATGCGAAGATCTGGTTGCAGAAGCAACCGGAGAATGAAATGGAAAACATTATCTTCGGTGGACAGCGGTGCGAAATTTGCAAACAACAACATCGCACGGCGGTTTGAAGAGATCCCGCTGATGACCACTTATGTGGCAATCGATTGGCAGCTGTTTAAGAGCGGCATATTCGAGATTAAATAGTTCGAGATTAGATTGCCGAAGCCAAAATTGACTCTTGGGAGAAGTTCGGTTAGGTGTTCGAGTCAAATTTCCTCACGGCAAACAAAGTATTCTGGCAGACCATTCGACGTCTCCGAAGTGAAAGGAAGGGCTGTCTCAGAGTTTTGAAAGACAGGTCTAGACGCCCTCCTACCAAGGAGGAGAACATTCTTCGACGATGGAATGAGTACTTTGAAGAACTCCTTAACACCAAGCGCCCGCAGGATGTTTCGCTTCTAGTGCATCTGGGAACGATATTACTATTGCTGTAAATGAAATTGCACAACGTGTGAAAAAAACTTGGAATTGATGAAACCCACACTGAGATGCTCAAGGCATTAGGCGAACAAGGCATGTGCTGATATACACGTGTCTGTCAAACTGCAATGACTAACAAGAATACGCTAGCGGACTGGCTAGCGGGAGTTGTAACCCTATTCAAGAAGGGAGACCACAGGTAGTGCTTCAATTATAGTTGCAATAGGCTATTGAGTCTCCCACGTAAAGTGTGCGCAAAGGAGCTAGATTAGAGGTGCGTGAAATAGTTGAGCTCAAGATGCAAGAAGAGCAGTTTGGATTCTGGTCCGTTCGAAGCACCTTTGACCATATATTTGCCCCCAGAAATCGTGGGTGTACATCTATCCGGTGTACATGTGTTTTGTGGACCTAGAACAACCCTATGACTGGATTCCACGCAGCACTGTTTGGTCATGCCTTCGAGCTTACGGGGTGGATGTCCAGCTGTTAAGGGCCATTCAATCACTGTATGCTGATAGCAGGTGCTGCGTCAGAGTTAATGGCGTTAAGTCGAAACCATTCAACGTTCGCACTGGTCTCCGCCAAGGCTGCGTCCTGTCCGCTATCCTGTTTGTGTTGTACATGGATAGAATAGTGAGGAGCAGCCAAACCGACGAGTGTATCGGTGTAGGAGATGTGAAGTCGAGAAGGTTGCTGTTTGCAGAGGACCTTATTTTATTAGCATGTTATGAAACTGATCGTCAGTGCTCCCTAGAAAAGTTCGTGTGAACGCATCTAAGACGAAAAACCTATTGCTTTCTCGTTCTCCTGCGCGTTGCTCTCTTCAGATTAGCGGTGAGGCAGTGGGCAGTTGGTGAAGTTCTAGTATCTCAGAGTCGTATTCACTAGTGATAGAAAGTTTGAGGAAGAGATCGACTGACGACGAATTGAAGTGGCTAGTGTCGTTCTGCGTGAACTATCCGGATCCATTGTGACTAAAGCAGAACTGAACTCAGTCTGGAAACCAAGCTGTTGGTGTTGAGGTTCTATCTTTTTCCCGATGCTTACTTATTGTCATGAGTCGTGGACCATCACTGAAGAACTTCGAACCCGGATACAAGCTAGTAAAATGGGCTTTCTTAGACGAATCGCTGGCCTACCCGTCTCGACATGTTCCCGAACATTGACATCCCGGAGCGCCTTGGTGTGCAGCCTTCTCCAGATTGAAAAGTCACAGCTGCGATGGCTTAGGATTGTATTGAGAATGCCTCCAGAAAATGAGGCTAAGCGATTCTTTGTTGCCAGACCGAGCGGCGGTAGGCCCAGGGTCGGCAAAGAGTAGTCTGGTGTAACTGCGGGCCAAGAATAACCTTTTCTGTTCCCGATTCCTGTTTTTTTTGCCGAAGCTCAAACTCTGGCAAATGATCGGGAACGTTGAAGGCTCTGTCTGACGCGTCTGTCTCCATGACTCGAAAGGAGTACCGGCCATAGAAGGTGAAAATGAAGATGATGGCTTCTCCAAGATGAAACTAGCAAATAGAAGTACTAGTACTGGCACTTTAATAGACACGAAATGCTAGGTAGCGAATAGGATTGAATTACTATTTATTATGACTAATCGCCTACTTGCTAAGTGGTGTTTTAGTCAAAGTATATTTTATTAGTACTTTCTGTACAGTATTATAGATCATGTTTTTACCGTAAATGATCAGGAAAGAGCATACTTTCACCACGGTATACGAGGTTGTGAAGAACATCTCTGTTACTCCATGGTCTGCGGTGCCTTCTAATCTGATAAGCTGTTTCTTCCATTGAACCGTATTATATGTGTCGTACTTAGGCTATCAGTAATCGTTGCTGAATGAATTAGAATAATACACGTAGTACAATAATTATTGAAAAGATACAGTTATGCCCGTCGCGTAACAAGTAATGAGTAAATATTGTTTCAAATTACTGGTGAAATAAGTACTCAGTAAACACATGATCGTATAAGTACTGATTCTGACTGATAGCACAAGCAGTAGTCTGCGTTCAACGTATGTTTTCATGTTTATCATAATACCTTATCACTGCTTAATATATCATGTATTTGAATTGTAGGTTTTGCGCAGTTTTGCTGCTACCACAAGGCGTTCCTTAGCATAGTTTTCGTCCATGCCCCGAGGTTTCTAGAGAAACGAAATGAAGTCGCATTTTTTCTGTGTTTTGGACATCGGATAAAGTCTAATATTTTTTACTAGATGTTTGATTTATATGCTAATTCAATAATTTATGCTTTAATTTTTTGTATATGGAACCGCAGTTATGTACGGAATAGTACCCTAATGGAGGGTTTCTAGTCATTGTTTGTATTTGTTTCCGAAATATGCTTGAGGAATCAGCATGCCGTGAGCGGAGGATGCTTTCTGTTTTCTTGTCCTGGTCATCTAATAGAGCTTAAACAGTAGAGGATCGATGGTATCGATAAATCGCAGTATGTTAGTAAACCCATTAGATCGAGTTTTATTTTTATGTATAAATATGTTTACGGTTTGTTATGTATTTGCAGGTGCCCGAACAGACTTTTGTTCGGCCCTGCCTAGGGATGCGGTTTTGCATTCATGCACTGCAAGAACTCATTACTATGGAGCTGTGGCCTGCGTAAATTGTGCCCTAGGCAACTAGAGAACGGTACGATGATGTCTGACGATTGCAGGTAATTCAGATACCTATTGGATATCGTTCGCTGCAGCGGCACAGGTCATGTTCCTAACGCAGACGGGTGTACCTCAACGAGGATTTCAACCATGTTTTGTATTGTTCTTAAGCGTCTGCGACCAATG